TGCGTGTGTGTGTGTTTTACGTTGTATGAGATGTTCGTCAATAACAAACTGCTGAGTTCGAATTGTTACAGAGAGTAGTAAACGCTAACTACTTTCTCGAAGCTTATATGTATGGCACATATCTCGTTCCGACGATAGAAAAAAGGTCAATAAAATACAAACGCATTAACATTTGTTAATTTTTCTTTATTTGAAATAATCTCATGTCAGAGAGATGAGAGAAAGAAAGAGAGAGAGAGAGAGAGAGAGTCACTTTAACAGTTCGCTTTAGATTCCGAAGGTTCACCAAACGGAACTGTCCTATGATTTGAGATACAAATCACACACTAGAAACTTGGTACGATACCCGAGCTTACTAGCACCCTCAGATGCTGTAGTTGTTGTTGTTGTTGCTATCCGTGTATACGTTGTTGGGTGTGTATCTGTTCCATGGGTGAACGTTTCGGTCTGGCAGAGGTTGGTAGGACATACTAGTATATCCAATCCATTGTTGCTGCTGCTGTTGTTGTTGCTGATGTTGCTGATGCTGCTGTATGGTGTTTTGCTGTGGTAGAGATTGGGAGTGGATGTATTCATTCCACTGATTGGAAGGAGACGAGTAACCATGGCGGCTCCACTGCTGTGACTTCTGGCTAGCTTGAGGTATGGTAACGCTGTGACCCGTCCGCGGTTGGTCGCTACGTTCGAGTGCATGTGTACCCGACACATCAGCGACGCATTCGCTCTGTGTAGATTCCGTTCCCGGTGCTGCCGTTGTTGCTGCGGTTGATGGTCCCGGTAGCGGTGTATTAGGTCTTATCACCGTATCTAAAATGAAATGTAGAAGTACATGTTTAATTTTAACTGAATATGTATACATCAGTTCTGTTGAAGAATAAAGCAAATTATCAACGTGTTAAAAGACATATGGATATTAATACCGTAAGTGAGAACAATAGTTTACCGTCTAATTATATATATATGAGAGAGAGAGAGAGAGAGAGAGAGAGAGAGAGAGAGAGAGAGAGAGAGAGAGAGAGAGAGAGAGAGAGAGAGAGAGAGAGAGAGAGAGAGAGAGAGAGAGAGAGAGAGAGAGAGAGAGAGAGAGATGAAAACTTGTATAGAATTCGGGACTTAACGGGTCTTTCATACGGATGAAATCTGGTGATTCGATCCACCTCAGGATCGCAGCAGTTTAGCAATTCCACATCTTCCATTGCTTCCAGAATCTCATCTTGCTTCTGCGCGAGGGCCTTGAACGCCTCGGGGGAAAGGCTTATTGTCTTCTCCCCCTTAAAATTACGTTTGTTGATGTGTATGTACGGTTTTGAGCTAGATGGATCTAGGTTCACGTGCACTGTGTTGTTATACCAATACGTAATCTTCTTTGAAGCTCTGTTCATCGCCATAGTCAAGTAGATGCTGGTGAAGGTAGATAGGTAGGTAGGTAGGTAGGTAGGTAGGTAGACCGACTGGTAAGCTGACTTGGTGTTAGGCTGGTTGGCTGGCTGGTTTAACGATGGTTCGGTGGGTTGGAAGGTTGGCTCGGAGTCTGGTTGTCGATGTCAGCAAAAAGTGAAGACAACACAGATGGTTGTCCCTTTTTATCTGTCTCCCAGAGTAGTGATTGACACTTTCGTGTATAATACCTTGTGCATATGAAAGAATGAAAATTAAGTCTATATATAAAGGTAACCGATTGCATTGGATACTCTCAAGCATCCAATCGTTGATGGTTTTTTGGAAGTTCTAGCAGAAATCTTCACGTTCCCACACGTATTTGTCATTACCATTTCCTTTTCAGTTGAAATGTTTTTGTTCAGTTGCAGGTGGTTTAAAGTTTGAATATTTCATACATTTTCACGGTTACAAAGTATATCCGTTTCTTAATTTTACAAGCACCGAGGACGACGTTGAAGTTACTACTTGATGAAAGTTTCAAGTATTTCCAGAGCATACATTTGCATACATTGTTTTCCCTTTCAAGATGGAGGAAAAGTTCGGTTAAGTACCTCTCTAGTTTTCTTGACGCTATTGAAGAACTTAGCGTCAGCGTCGCACATTTTTCACCGCCGACAGTTATGCCTTGACTATACGTTCAAAAGTATTTAAATTTGCTAGTCATGTTGATTGCTTAATTTTGCATCGTATTTAACATAACGGATTTCGTGTCACTGTACACTTGAACTCCGTTTATCCGAACATTTTGTTACACTCGGAAATCGTCTGGATAGCGAAACGTCCGATTACAAACAAGCAAACATATTATCCGTGATATATATATATATATATATTAATAATGTATTGTATGTATTTCAATAAATATATCCAATACCTGTCTATAGAAGTATGACAAGATGAAATTATCAATATTAACAATGAATACACCTAGACGTGTGCTAAACAGTACTGAAGAGTCACATACACATGCATATATCTTTCCCTCTGGAGAAGCGGAACATTTTATTTTAATGGGGCTGTTTTGAACGTTTCTCTAACCTGCTCCTGGGGGTAGGCAAATGCACTTACAGAAAGAAAGTTTCGTTTCATCTAAAATTTGTCTGGAAGGAGATTTCCTCCTATACGAGATTCCAGTATATGATGTTCAACTGTATCTCTTCTCTAATATCACGTGTCAATCACAAAAAGTAGGAGTTACCTAAGAATGAATACCATATTCAGTGATTCGTCGATGACTATACCCGGAGATCTCAAATTATTCATTTAGTTATCCAATCAAAAAAGTTTACACTTTGAGTTCGTTTTGTGATGTTCTCAACTGATATAAAATCCGTTAGCTGAAATTTGGAAGGATACATTCGGTTGTCTGTTAAGAGTTTCATACAACCTCTGACTTTTGTTGGCGAATCGCGAAGATCTACCTTGTTAAATCTTTTTCGTCAACTTTGAAGGAAACAGGTAAGTGAGTTTACATTTAATTTTGAACATTTAAGTACTATGTTACTATAGCTTTACGTTTGTTTAACGGGTATATGTTTATTCTTACAGATATATTTATATGGATAGTGCATCGAGTAACACGTAAACAGTGTACAAGGAGAGAATTGATATGTCTTCACACACAAGCTGTCCGATCTATGCTTGCGTTTTATGTCAGAAATCATTCGGATCCAAACTAGCCTTATATCGTCATCAAAAAAGTTGTTTTGAAGAACCTAAGCGATTCCCATGCAATCACTGTGACGTTGTATGTACGAGAAAAGACAATTTACAAAAGCACATACGAAGATCGCATAGAGAAACGTTAAAATGCCACAAGTGTGGATTCCAAAGTAACAGTTTCTTGGTCTTGCGCAAACATGAAAAAGATTGTCAGTTTCAACAACTATTCAGTTGCGAAAAGTGCGGTAAACAATACACCACTCAAAATTATTTAACATGGCATGTGCGACGCAGTCACCCGACGTTGTTTTTCTGTCAGCATTGTAGTTTCTCCTGCAACAGTAAGAACAAACTAGCTTCTCACAAACGTCAGCAGCATGGTTTATTCATTGTTAGAGGGAAAAGTCGGGCTAAGTACAATAAGATGGTTGGAGGTGCAGTTTCGGGTAGAGGACGGGCTAAGGGACATCGGCGAACGAAGACACGAACAGTGGTCAAAATAACATACCTTCCGGATGCACACGTCAAGCGTTTGCCGGTGAGGCTAGGGTGTTTGATTTCACACCTAATGATATTCGTGAGGGTAGTGACCCTTTATTGTATTAAGCATCCATACAAGAGAGAATTATTGACGAGGTAAGAAGAGAAGTCGTCGAAAAAAAATCGTTTAAATGGGGGCTGTGTCTACACGTTCAGTTTTCAAAATTAGCAGACGATGGACAAGTGTTGTATTCGGAACCTTATTTTCATTCACCAATGGTAGTTGGTATGGAAGGTGACAGTTTGATCAACCATTATAACCAGCACGTCAATACATTATTACGACGAATAGATGACTACGAGGGAGACAGTTCAAATTTAAACTTGGATAAGGTTCTCAACGTCAAATTAACCGTAACTCGGTTCAGACCCTTTCGAGGCTCTTCGTTCATCAAACTTCCCGCGGAATTGAAACAGCATAGGAAATCCATACTGAACATTGTGAACACAGATGATCGGTGTTTTCTATATTCGGTGATAGCACACTTATTCCCCGCTCCGCCAGAGTCACATCGTGAACATGAAATTCATTACTTACCCCATGTGGATAAGTTTAATTTGGATACTATCACCTTTCCCGTGTCATTAAAAAACATTTCTAAATTTGAAAGACAAAACAATGTATCTGTTAATGTGTATGGGTACGAAGAACCAGTGGTTGACAAATACGGAAACGTTATTCCGGGTTACATTTATCCCGCTCTCATAAGTAAAGTGCAGGACAATGTTCCCCGCGAACGATGTATCGATCTCTTGCTACTAACGGATATAGGAAAGAGTCATTTCTGTTTAATTACTAACTTGGCGAGTTTAGTAACATCATCTACTACAAATCGACAGGTTAAAGTATGTCGACGTTGTCTTTGGTCTTTTACAAGCGAGTCGGTTTTTGAAAAGCATGCTTCTTATTGTAACCAAAAAGCCCAGAGAGTTTCAATGCCGAGTAAACTCGATGACGCTAATCTGCTAGAATATGGATTGAGACAGAAATCCTTTGAACAAGAATGCGATTTCATTTTTTATGCCGATTTCGAATCCGTACTCGAGCCGCAAGACGATCAGGATTCTAATCGACTTCAAACTCATGTACCCTGTGCCTATGCTTTCAAACTGATTAGCCGCGTACCTGAGTATTGTCAACCCTTGCAAGTGTACACAGGTGCCGACGCTGGTAAACATTTTATAACTAGCATTTTGGAGGTTTACGATTGGATTCAAGACGAAATTTATGCAAACCCAGTGGTGCTCCGCATCACTGGCGATGTTCGCGCAGAGCTAAACATGAATAATCTATGCTGGTTATGTGGAGAGGGGTTTGAAACAGAACAACCGGTCCTGGTCCGATGAAGTTAGAGGACTAGCGCATTTTGACTGTAATGTCAATTATCGACAGCGAAAGAGAGTCGTGTGTGTGCTACACAATGCGGAAAAATACGACACGCATCTTTTGTTAGACGCCGTAGAAGCCTTTTCGGATAGAGAGTTAAACTGTATCGCTCACAATACTGAAAACGTTTTAAGTTTTTCTATCGACAACCTCGTGCTTTTGGATTCTTATAAATTTCTGAACGCTTCCCTAGACACCTTAACTAAAAACTTGAAAGACAAAGGTATCGAGCATTTTCATCATTTAAGAGAACAGTATCCCCATCACGTCGATCTCTTGACAAGAAAATTACCGTTCTGCTATGAATATCTAAGCAGTTTTGAGGTATTAAGCGAGCCGTGTTTACCCTCCAAAGATCGGTTTTATTCTTCGCTGAGCGAGGAAGGAATTTCGGAACCGGATTATGACTTTGTTCAACGTCTTTGGCATACGTTTGACATGAAATCGATGAACGATTTTGTTGAGTTGTACGTGTCGGTAGACACCTTGCTGTTATGCGACGTCATGCAAATGTTTAGATCTATGTGTATGACAGACTACGGTATTAAACCGTTTCATTTTGTGAGTCTACCGGGTTTCTCGAACATGTGTTGCCTCAAACTCACCCGCGTACAATTACGACTCTTAACTCACCCAGATTTATACGGGTATTTTGAGAGAGGTATCAGAGGTGGATGTAGTTTCATCGCCCATCGATATTTCAAAAGTAACAACGTGTACATGGGGGATGAGTATGACCCAACAAAAGAGACTGGTTATTTGTTGTACTACGACGTCAATAGTCTGTATGCTACTTGTATGACAGAGCCCTTGGCTGTGGGGAACTTTGAGTTCCTAGAGCGTGACGAGTTTGACAGTATTGACTGGATGTCTGTCCCTTACGACGGGTACTATGGTTATGCGATAGAATGTGATCTGACAATCCCTCCGCATTTACACGATTTCTTCTCTTCATTCCCTCCAGCACCAATGCATAGGAACATACCACTGAGCGAATTTTCACCTTACTGTGAAGATATTTTGCAAGAGTTAGGTCTATCTAAAACCAAATCGAGCGGGAAAAAATTATTTTGTACACTGTATGACAAAAACAACTACATCGTTCATTTCGAAACGCTGAAGTGTTATTTGAGACTAGGTATGCGAGTGAAGCATATTCACACTGTAGTTAGATTCGCTCAGGAGGCATGGATGAAACCTTACATCGATGTCAACACGCACAAACGTAAACTAGCTACTGACAGCGCATCCAAAGATTTTTACAAACTGTTGAGCAATGCGTGTTATGGAAAACAGATTGAAAACTGTAGAAAGTACAAGGACATTCGGTTGGTGAACGATGCTAACATATTGACGAAATACACTGCCAAGTGCAATTTCAAACGACTCAATATCTTCTCTGAAGAGTTGACTTCAATAGAAATGGAGCGTACTTCGGTCACATTAGACAAACCAATTGCTGTGGGATTCTGTATACTGGAACATGCCAAGAGAAGAATCTATTCTTTCTGGTATGACGTTTTGGTTAGACAGTACGGTAGTCAGGTGAAACTGTGTATGACCGATACGGATTCGCTCTTATTTGCTGTGAGCGCCCGCCGGAAAAACCTCTCCTAGATCCTTATCTGTTTATGAGCTATCACATGGAATTATTCGACACGTCCAATTTTCCAAAGTCTCATCCTTTGTACAGCAATGAAAGACATAAACAGCCCGGCCTTATGAAATCAGAAACTGCACATCATATTATCATCGAATTTGTGGGGTTGAATCAAACACACACACACATAGACAGACGGGTAGATGGATACTAGTAAAGCCGGAAAAACTGAAAAGAGGCAAAGAGCCTACACGAAGACATGTACATGTATTCGATGGATCCTCATCTATATATCAGGTTAATTGATTACATTCGTTATCAATACAAACGATGGAATTAAGGAGAAAGAAATTATTTTAAAAAAAAGAAGTAAACAACGAATTAATAGAATGACATGTCGATATGAAAAGAGTTAATCGAAATAAAGGAGATCTTGTTCGTCACATCTCATAACTTTGTGGATGATTGAATAAGTGATTATTATTGTTATTTTTATTATTCAAATATTCCAGAATACACATCGACAACATGAACAACAAGACATCAACTACCGTGAAATATCATTTCTGCATCAAAGATCGACGCGGCCGCATTGTCTACGAGGATGACTGTTATTACAGCAACAATTTGACAGCAGTATCGTTTGCTTTAGAAGTAGTAAAATCGACACAATTGTCTGACGTCGATGGACCCTGTACTATTCAGCTGTCGAGTTATAATTTTGCGATGCCCCTCCCTAAGGAAATGAAAACAGAGAAACAGAGGCAAGATTTCAATGATATCCTCGATGGATACTATATCGCAGCATTACGCGACGGTATAGAGATGAGGATAAAAGAAAATAAGTGTCCATGTTCCGGATGTGAAATCGATCATCCTTCGCAACGCGAACACACGTGCCTCTATCCCAAGAGTTATAGTTCCGAGGTCGCGTGGTACTTTGATGAAGTCCTGAAAAGTCTATCGCACGAAGATTTATTTAGAAAAGCGAAAGACAGCTTCACGAATCATGTCAACACAGTTGCCAATTATGATCCGACGCCTTTCCACGAGGATGAAACGTGGGTTCGTGAAAATTATTTGACGAGCGAAAGACTTGGCAAATGGGTTATCACCTTAAAAATAATTATGGATTGAATGTAAAAAATCAGTGACAATAAACGTGTTACGCGTAGTTGACCTGCGTGTTTGATTATGGAACAGATCAATGTATACATATTATCATGAGTTCATATGAACATGCATTTTAAATATTATGTAATAAAATTGAAAACCCGTCTCAACTCGTTTGTTTGATTGTGTGTGTGTGTGTGTGTGTGTGTGTGTGTGTGTGTGTTTCGTTCGTTTCGAAGTAAAAAAAGAAAAAGAAAGGTATCCTTTCCCAGCAAATTAATGCAAATCAATCAAACTCCCGCCAATACTTGTCATCCGAAACGACTTATTATGACTGAAATCAGCTTATTAGCATCCCAATATGATTTTTTAGTAGCTCCTCAAAGTGTCAAGTTCGTGTGGAATTCGTTAGAATGTTGGGTTTTAGAGTTTCTTCACCCTACGCATGCGTAGCAAGTTGGCAAACCACGTGCGTTAACTTTGGAAGTCGTTGATCATGCCGCGTGGTCTTAGAGCAATCATCGCACTGGGGGTTATTCTCCTTGATGCAACATGTGTTGCAAAAGAAACTTCCATGAGGATATCGTGACGCACCAAGAGTAGGGAATAAATGATGAATAAAAAACCTCAAACCACAAATGTACCTAATAACCTCGTTTGAACAATGGAATGAGGTCATTGATGACGTCATCAGTGTACTTGGTGAGTTGTGTCAACAGTGTATTGTATGGGTATTGTTCTAAAGTCAACAGAGAGCTGAACAGCTGTTGATTCTATTTAATAAAAAAAAGGACAGGAGTTGAATGGGTATTGTTTTCAGGGCACCTGTGTCAATATGGGTGTGGGTTATGGAGTGAATGAGTATTGTTCTCAGGACACCTGTGTCAATATGGGTTTGGCTTATTGTACAACCCATGCACCTGTGTCAATCTAACACAGCTGTGTCCATAGGGTGTGAGATATGAAACTGTATGGTCTTCATTCCACAGACTGTATCTATTTCAATAAAGGGCGGGTCTTCCCGGTTTGAATGGGTATTATATTAGAAGCACCTGTGTCAATAAAACGGCAGAGTTGTGAATTTGAGTGAGTGAGTGAGTTAAAATTTAACGTCACATCGGCAATATTTCAGCCATATCGTGACGAGAACAATTAATTTTATACATAATAAGCAAGGGCAAACTATAAAAACCTGTCAACGAAGGACAGTAAAATAACTAGATTATCACAGATTCGAATTTAAAACTAGCAATCAAATCTAAAACAGTCTAACTATAGGACAATACAAGGTAAAAACCGGCTATATATTGCCAACAACTGAAGGTAGATCACCATACTAGGGACCATGGGGACTTACAGTACATTGGCTTCCTGCATGGACCCTAGCTGGATTTACACCATCCCCTCAGCTATTAGCAATGTTAGATAATCTAGCCATATATTAAAGGAACATATATTCTACGATTAAAAGAGTAGTAGGTTGAAATTTACTTTGAATGTTTTGGGACTTACGTACCCTCTCAGGAGGACAATAATTTTACGCTACTTCAACCCCCTTTGAGGGCACTGCCACTCACAATCTAAGTTACAAATCAAAACTACCAATAATTAAAATACATCTATGTACAGAACATATTAATCAAAATTCATTCATTAAATCAATTTCTTTTAAAAAACCAATAATTAAATGATAATTAACATTTGTAAAAAGATCCTTCATGGTTTTTACATTGAAATATTTATCCCTTATGATGGAGAATTCAACACAGTCAAGCAGGACATGCTTGACCGTGGTTCTCTCATCACAAGGGATACAAAACGGAGGATCCTCACCTTTCAATAGGTATTTGTGAGTATAACGCGTATGGCCAATGCGACATCGTCGCATAATGACCTCCTCAAATCTGGACTGACAACCCAAGTAGGTATAACCAATGTAGGGTTTTATTTCATGTAATTTATTAATACCTACCTGGGTGTCCCACGTCTTCTGCATCAGATCACGGATGTAAGTTCTAATGCCAGCTTTATAATCAGAATATGGAATAAGAAGTGGTGTCACAGATTTGTTGAGTGCCGCCTTGGCAACAAGATCAGCCATTGTGTTCCCAGAAATGCCAACGTGGCTGGGCAACCAACAAAAGACGATGTCGCATTGGCCAGTAGCAAGTTCATTATATAATTCGATTATTTCAATTAAAAGTGGATGTTTGCAAGATAGATTTTTAATAGCCTGAAGGCAAGAAAGTGAGTCAGAAAAGATTATATATTGTTTATGTTTAGGATGTCTTTGAATATATTTAGAGCTGTTAAGATGGCGTTAGCTTCTGCGGTAAATATAGAGCTGTTATCCAGTATTCTAGAAGATATTGTTCTGGATCCAATGACAGTGGCACATGCCACTGCGCCACCGTCCTTGGACCCATCCGTAAATAAGGATTTGTATGTATTATATTTATTTCGTAGTTGACTAAATTCTTGCTTATACTGTAAGTCATTTGTTTCTGATTTTTTAAATGTAGTTAATGTTAGGTCAACGTGTGGTTTAACCAATTGCCAAGGAGGAGAAGAAAAAAGACGGGAAGGAGATATATTCTCCAACTCAATGCCGGCAGCAGAGATATATGGTTGGATTCGTATCCCAAGAGGTGGAACAAGGGCAGTTTTTTTTTATTGTACAAATCCTCATAAAGAGGGTGAAAAACGCAGTTGTGAGCAGGATTGGAATCATTAGAAGATAACTTTGTGACATATTGTAAAGACAATTTGATACGGCGAAGTGTTAAAGATGGCTCATCGGCCTCAACATAAAGACTGTCAATGGGAGAGGTTCTAAAGGATCCAAGACAAAGTCTTAGACCTTGGTGGTGGACAGAATCTAATAGACTCAAGTTACTTTTGCAGGCTCCACCATACACGATCGAACCATAATCAAGTTTGGAACGAATTAGTGCTCTGTATAAGTGAAGGAGGGTCGACTGATCACCTCCCCACTTAGCATTGGAGACGACTTTTAATATATCTAATGCCTTCAGACATTTTGCCTTAAGATATTTAATATGAGGTAAAAAGGTAAGATGATGGTCAAATATGATACCCAAAAATTTAGCCTCCTTAACTACTTTAATGGGGGGTACCCGATAGATGTAAATATGGGTCCTTGTGTGGTTTATATTTGCGACAGAAATGGATGCAGTTAGTTTTAGATTTAGAAAACTTAAAGCCATTTCGTTCAGACCAATCTTTAATTTTATTGAGACAGAGCTGCAACTGTCTCTCAATCGTGTGCATATTTTTACCCCGACATGAGACATTAAAATCATCAACAAATAATGACCCATCAACAGAGTCATTTAACACTTTCGATAAACTATTTATTTTGATACTGAACAACGTTACAGATAATATGCTACCTTGCGGAACACCTTGATCTTGTTCATACAATTCAGACAAGGTGGAACCCACACGCACCTGGAAATTTCGATCTGTTAAAAACTGTGATATGAAATTAGGCAAACGGCCTCTCAGACCCATATCATGAAGATCATTCAAAATTCCATGTTTCCAGGTGGTATCATGCTTTTTTTCGAGATCAAAAATATAGATACCGCATGTTGTTTATTTACGATAGCATTCTTAACAAACGTTTCTAATCTAACTAAATGGTCAATGGTACTTCTGTTTTTCCTAAACCCACACTGGATATTTGTAATAAGATTATTAGTTTCTAAGTACCATACAAGTCTGTTATTGACCATTCTTTCCATGGTCTTGCAAACGCAACTAGTAAGCGATATTGGCCTATAGTTGGAAGGATCAGTATGATCACGGCCTGGTTTTGGAATAGGAATAATGACAGCATTCCGCCACGAGGAAGGGAAATTACCCGTTGTCCATATTTGATCAAAATATTTAACAGGGTTTCTAAACAAGAATCAGGTAAATGTTTAAGTAACTGATAATGAATACCATCAGCACCCGTAGCAGTATCATGAGCTTGCCCTAAGGCAGTGTGTAGTTCATGAATGGAAAAAACCTCATTATAGTCCTCACCATTATCAGACGCAAAATTGATTTTCATTTTTTCAGCTTGTTGTTTAAATTTTTGAAATTTTTGTGTATAATTTGATGATGAGGAATGTTGAGCTAAAGTTTCTCCTAATTTATTAGCTATGTCAGATTTATCAGTTAATATGGTGTTTCCATTTTTAAGATGATGAACACCAGATTTTGATCCTTTACCTTTTATCCTTTGCACCATATTCCATATTTTGGACATAGGTGTTCGTGAATTAATTTTTGAAACATAGTCTCGCCAAGACTGACGTTTAGTTTGCTTGAAGGTACGACGCGCCTTCGCATTTAGTATTTTGAATTTATTTAAGTTATGGACAGTTGGGTGATGGCGGAAATATTTCTCTGCCTTCTTCCTTGCTTTTCTAGCATTTTTACAGTCTGCATTAAACCATGGCTTCCGCACATGTGGAGTTGTAGAGGACTTTGGTATACATTCATCAGCTATTACAGTTAAAACGTCAGAAAACATCTCAATAGGATCAGCAACATCACTGAAACATTCAGGTCTTAGTTTAGATGTACATAAAGTTTGAAATAAGGACCAATCTGCCTTGGAAAAATTCCATTTTGAGTAAGATGGAGAATCAGTTGGGGAAATTTGTGATAGTATCGTTGGAAAATGATCACTTCCACAGAGATCATTATGGACTGACCAATCAAATTCATTGAGTAGATTAGAGTCTGCAACAGATAAATCTAAAGAAGAGTAGGTGCCGGTTGCAGGATGCAAATAAGTGCTTGAATCATCATTGAATATACACAAGTCATTGTTCGTGATGAAATCTTCTAGTAGTTTACCTTTATTGTTAGTAGCTGTGCCACCCCAGAGTGGATTATGGCCATTGAGATCACCCATTATAATGCATGGTTTCGGAAGCTGATCATAGAGACCCTGAAGATCAGACAGATGAAGTGTGAAAGAAGGCGGGATATACAACGAGCATATTGTAAAGGCAATATGAAGAGTGATTCTTACTGCAACAGCTTGAAGATTAGTTGTAAGTTTTACTGGGCTGTGAATAACATTCTGCTTAACAAGGATTGAAGATCCGCCAGTGGCCCTGTCACCCAGAGGTGAGAAATAGTGA